CAGCGGCTAGAGAAGCCACTGCGAAAGCGGGGGCGCCATGCCCAGTACAGGGCGAGGTCGCGGGGCGGCTGCTGAAAGCCACCGGCGGTGGCCGCTGGAAACTGACCCGCGCTGGCGGGAAGGGTCGCCCCATGGCCGCGAGGAGTCCGCTGGCCGTTTCCCTTTCCCGCGCGGCGGAGCACCCTTCCCCTTGCCTTTCGCGAGGTCAGAGTTACGCCTCCGCTTGTCAAGTTCGCGATAACACTCAGCTTCCCAATCCACGCGCATGCTTTTCTTCCAGCAGAGCCTGCGCACGGCGTAGTTGACCTCGCTGACGTCACGCACAAAACCTCGACAGAATTCAAGGATGCGACGCTGCGGATCTTTGGCGGAGCGGGGCCCAGACTCCTGGTCACTGACGGCGTTCCACCCAATGGTGAGCAGGGGGCCACATTATTTCTTGAGGCGGCTGATAACCGATCCAGTCCTCCCCTGCGTTGTCTCGGTGGTTCCGAATAGGAAACCTGGTAACCTGGTGCCTCGGCAAGTTGCAGAGCCCGCCATTGCTGTCCGACCGAGCGGTCGCGCCACCTTTGGGGCGCGCCCGGGCTGCACTGTTCGGTTGACATGGGACTTCTGCGCACTGGCTCGTCGTCCGCGGTCGGCGAGGCGCCGGACTGGGGCTGCGCTGCCGGCGGGGCCCCAGCACGAACAGGGCCAGTGGGAGGGGGCCCGCTGACCGCTGGCTGAGGGGAATTGCCGGGGCCGCGCCTCCTCCCAGAACGCCCGCTGGCAGGACTTCCCGAGGGGGCACCCAGTCGCAGGTGCTTTTGCGGGGGGGCTCGCGAGAGGCGGAGCGGGAGCTGGAGCCCCCCCCGCCCTGCCCCACCGAGCCTCGGGGGAGGCGTGAGGACAAAGTTCCACGCCCCGAGGAGGTGGGGGACTGGCCGTGGGCACGCCGCTCCGAGTCTGGCCTCGGCGGCGCAGGGGGGGGCGGCAGTCTGGGTTGCTCCGAATGCGGAGAACAGCTGCCGCTGGGACGCTGGGCTGCCGACCTCCCCTTGGGAGCTGAATCCGAAGGGATGGCAGCAGCTGCGCGTGGGGGAGCACTGGTGGGGACTTCAGTGAGGGCGAGCCTCTCTTTCCAGCGGTTGCACGGAAGTCCCGCACGCGCGGGTACTGAAGCGAAGTGATCCCCCTTGACTCCAAGTAGCCAAGCAGGATTTCCCGGCGGTACCATGCCAGGTCTCGTCTCCTCCTGGACGCTCTGGGGTCGCGCTCGCTGCGGCGCGCATCCCACTCGTCGGGCCCCTTGCGCGAGCTGGCGGGGGCATGGGAGGTGGCGGGGGCATGGAAGTCCCCCGATACAGGCGGGTAACCAGGAGGGCCAAAGTGGCGCGCTCACCGCCCCAGTGGACTCCCGTCGGGACCCCAGACGCCGGGATGGAGTCGCCATCGATGGAGGCCAGAAACTCCCGACAGCATGCTTCGGCTAATCTCTGGGGTTCGAGAGGGGGCCCATGCCTCTCTCGGGCTGGCGCAGCGCGGAGTCGGCGATCCTCCACGCCCATATCCTCCAGCGATCGTCGCCCCCTGGAGAAACTGCTCGGACAAACGTCACCACGATGCGCGCGATGGCATTGTCGGCGATCCCGGGCGCTTTGTCGGGATGGGTGTGCCTGGCCGCCTGCAGAATGGCGATGGCCCTAACATAGGCGGGGGTATGCCGGGGGTCTAACACTAGGGGGGGCCATCCACGAGGCTCGGGGGGGGGCGACGCGGGGTCGGCCGTCGGCTCCGCCCGCGAGCTGCCGCGCGCGCCTGGCGCCGAGGCCGACCTGATCTGCTGGCGACGCGCCCTAGAGAGGGGGCTGCGGGCACCCTCGAGGCGGCCACCGGATGAGGCCCTGCCCCGCCGCGCGGAGGCTCGCTGCGAGGCGCGGCGGCTGCCGGCGGCCGGGGGGCACGCGCGGCGGACCTGAAGTTGATGATTCCGCGGCGGACCTGCTCCTGCGTGGGCCGACGTTGCTCAGCCCGTCTGCCCCCAGGGCGCGCGGCCGCCGCACGGGTGGCCGGGGGCGGGGGCGCTGTCGAGGGGAGGTGCGGGGGTCGGAGGTGCCCGTAGCCCTCGCGACTCGCTGGAGGCCAGCCTTCGGCATGGTGGCGAGGCCCCTAATGGGTCTGACCCGGGGGGCGCGGATGGACTGCTGGGCCGCCTGGGTGCTTGGGCGCTGGGCCCAGGAGGGCGCGGCACCCCCCTCCTTCAAGCACCTCCTGAGGGAGCAGGCCACGACCGTCTAGTCGAGGATGATCCGGACCTGACTGAGACGGGCACCCCACAGATGCATAAGGCAGTCCTCGCAGAACCAGGTGGCGCCCCACTTCACGCCGGCAAAGGCTTGAGCGCGCTCACCGGGGATAGGAATGCCGCAATGTAGCTGCAGATGCACTTCCTTCCCAGGACAAAAGATAATCGCGCCCAAAGGGGCGCCCCCACATGGCCACTGCCTCGTTGGAACGCCCCCCAGGCAAGGATCGCACTGGCATTCCCAAGAGCGACAAGTGAGGTTCCTGCCGAACCTGTCGTCCACGGTGCGGAATACAAGAATGGCGGTGCGCGCGTGGGCGGGGCCACGCGGGCCCTTCGGGACCAGTAGGAGGTCTGCCAATGAGGTGGCATCCTGGACGGGTGGGGAACAGGGGGCCGGGGGGGCGGCGCAAGCCAGTGCGCTGCGGACCGAGGGTGGCTAGGCGGGCTGCCACCTTGCCGTCAGCTGGCGCAGGCAATCCCTTGACTGACAGGCCGGCGTGCCAGCACCCCGCGCAGTGCCAGCGACAGTCAACCCCGCGGCGATGGAATCCCAGGCGGCTGGCGGCAACCATGTTTCTGACCGCATCGTCCATCCACGCTCCTCCATTGTCTTTCTGGGGGTTGAAGGGGTCTCTCCCGCACTGGTCGCAGTAGATGCGGGGGCTGCTCATGCCCAGCTTGAGTGGTCGTCATCCAGGCCGACGCTGGGAGGGGAGATAACGGCCCCGGGCGGCACGCATGCAGGGGAGGGGGCGACGAGGTCCTTTCCGGCCCCCGACAGTCCGCCCCCCAAATACTGCGGGTTTGTGGCCTCGTGCCCCTCTGGGAGGAGGCCAACGCTGGACCCGAGGAAGGCCTGCGAGAGAGCGCAGCCGGCGCAGCGGTAGGCTTGCAGGTTATAGAGAGAGGTCCGCGGGGGGAAAGAGGTGAGCCAGGGCGTCCAGCATGGGCTTCAAGGAGAAGTGACTGGGGGAGACCTCCCTCCATGGCACGCTGGCATTGTCCCCTGTACGTCAGGGCGGCAGTGCGCCACGGTTACCAACCGAGAGCATACCTCAATGAGGGCCTCTGGGCGTCCATGTACTCTGCGGAAGTCTGTGTCCACGAGGTTGTGGGCTCGGCCGAAGCTGTCACGCACCGGAATGCGGGCATGATTGCAGGGAAGACAGATGCCCAAAGTGGCCTCAAGGCTCAAGGATGTCGCCGATATGGCCAGGGCTTCCGTTGGGCGCCAAGTGGGGCCTCGGCTCCCTGATCAGAAGGAGCATCAGTACCAGGGTCGCGTTCGCCCTTGCGAGCTGGAAGGTCGCCCCGCTGCAGTCCTTGAGTAGGCTGCAGGATCCATCGAGCGGCCGGTCCTGCTGGTCGGTGAAGGCTGCTAGATACTGCAGGCATGGGGCGCCCTGACGGCGGGTGCAGTCGCAGGTGGTAGCGTTCCAAGCCGCTGGGGGGTGCGCAAACAACCAGGAGCCCGCGGCCCTGGAGGCCCACGGCAGCATAATGGACGCGCGAATGGTCTGCTCGGGAGAGTCGAGGAGACTGGCCAGGTCGTCCACGTAGGTGGGGCATCGGCCGGCTGCCGCTCCCATCCCAATGGATCTGGACAGGCTCCTCTGGGGGCCTATGTATGTACGCCGCAGAATCTGAACTTCGCGGCGGACCACAAGGTCGAAAAGGCCCTTCTGCAGCCAAGCAGGAAGCCCCCAGCGGTTGAGCACCGCAGCGAGCCATTGTATTTGAGAGCCTCTCGAACGCCTTGATCTGGTCGGCAAACAAGATGGCTGTGGAGGGGGTGGCACCGACGTTGCGGGTGGCCTGCGTTATGTGCGCTTCAACTGTTTCCAGGGGTTTCCCCACAAGGCGATCCCAGGTCCCGCCAGGGTTGTCAGGCGCAGAAGCAGGGGCGCGCCCAAGGTGGTCCGTGGCCAAACGGACATTGGGCCCGCACTGCCCGCCTTCTTTGGCGGCCTGATCGGGGGAGAACTGAGGCTCAATGATAAGCCCGACCAGATCGGCCAGCGAAGCTCCAAAGAGGCGGCGCATGCAGGTGGGGAGCTGCAGGGGCCTCAGGCCATTGGAGCGTTCGGCGCTGGGGACTTTCAGGATCCACACGAGCAGGTCGACAGAAGGGCTGAGCACGGTGGCGAGCAGGGCGGGATTCTGGTCAGCGACATACCATGTTTTGGCAAGGAGGAGGGAGACGAAGAGCAGTCCGCTGTGGTACACGTCGTATGGCTTACCATCAACGCCAAGGGGCGCTGACTGAGGGGCCGAGTATAAGTGTCGCCATGCGTCCCACGAGGGCTGCGGGCGATCTGAAGGGAAATCGCCCGGCCGCCGGCAAAGTAGTCGTCGAGCAGGACGTGCGCCGCTTGGGGGAGGGGAGGCGCGGATTGCTAGATGGCCGCGCACACACACACACACAGACAGACAGACAGACAGACAGACAGACAGACAGACACACCGACACAGACACACACATACACACACACAGACACTTGCACTTACGCACGTCTGCTGCTGGTAAAATGGTAGTTCAAAGTGGCCAAGATGCAAGCAGAAGGGACCCTCTGACAAACAACAAAAAAAGCATGTGGTCTGGATTCGTTCACAGGGGGCAACGTACAGAGGCGATCAGGGATAGAACGCCCAAGATAGCTGGAAAAAGAGTCGCACGGGTATAGGCAGCAACAGGACAGCAAAAACTATCCATAATCATGCTCGAACGTGGGCGTGTTCCGCGCCAGTGGATGCGCAATGGCCAGCAAGCTCCTGTTCATGTCCGACTGCATATCCTGTATTCGGGGCGAAAGAACGAGGGACTGCACGAGAGAGAGATAAAGAGAAACAAAAAGAGAGAGAGAGAGAGAGAGAATATATATATATATATATATATATATTGTTTGTTTTATATATATATATATAATAATAATAATAACAACAAAAAATGGGGGCAGACATCGGAGGAAAAGAGAAGGAGAAAGCCTTCTCTGAAGGTTCGTAAATCCGCCAGATTTCTGACAATAAGTCAAGCCTTTCCCGAAGACACAGAAAACTTCTCAGCAGGCGCGAGGGTTTCTGAGAAGCCCCGACGCCTTCTGAGAAGGCCTTCGCCTTCTCACTTCCCCCCCCCCTCGCTCGCCACCGAAGAAGACGCGAGCGCGCGCACCCTGTCAACCCGCCCCCTATCAGGAGTGCCGCGGTGCTGGCCTATCTGGATCGCCCCACGACGTCCCAAGAGGACCCCAAGAGGCCCCAAAGACGGCGGACAAGTCGACGGAATAGTACAACCATTGTTCGGTGGCAACTCATCGGAGCCTCCAACACCATCTTGTCGGCGGTTGCTATTCGACGCTACATCGACGCTGCATCGACGCTCATCGACGCCCATCGACGCTAAATCGGCGCTATGTCACCGACTCCAAAACGGCTAATCGATGCAAAATTGCGAGGGCATACCAGGCTCCCATGACTGGCTACCGAAACCATTGCATGCCGCGCGGGGCCGCTGTGCCTATTCTGGGAGGAGCAGGATGAGGGGGAAGGGAGGAGGAGGAGGAGGAGGAGGAGGGAGGGAAGGAGGAGGAGGAGGAGGAGGAGGGGAGGAGGAGGAGGGGGAGGAGGAGGAGGAGGAGGAGGAGGGAGGAAGGAGGAGGAGGAGGAGGGGGAGGAGGGCAAGCTAGGTGCGCTCGCGTCATGTCTGACATCCTACCCCTCCCTCCCATCCCTTACCATGACGCAGATCCCCTCTCTACTCGCTCAGTCGGATGTCGAGCAGGGCAATGATCCCGAAAGGGTACGCGATGCATTGTACAGCACGGCATGGCATGGCGTAGAAGAGCACGCGCAAAGCATAGTATCAACCTAGCATTGCATTGCATGCCGTGGCATGGCACGGGAAATGACGCCAGCGCTGCAGCGGGAGCACGAGTCGAAACGAGCGGAAGCGCGGAAATGAGGCCAGCGCTGCAGCGGGAGCACGAGTCGGAACGAGTGGAAGCACGGAAATGAGGCCAACGCTGCAGCGGGAGCACGATTCGGAACGAGCGGGGCCCGAAAATGAGGCCGGTGCCTCAGCGAGAGCAGCACTTTGGACAAAAAATGCAAGCGAAAACCCAACTCCGGGGAAACCTGTGTAAAAAAAAAGTACGCGGGGGGGGGGTCGGCCACTTTCAAACTGTCATCAGGGGAAGAGGGAGAGTAATATTCATATTGAGTAATTGTGGAGGAGGGGGAGGAGGAGGAGGAGGAGGAGGAGGAGGAGGAGGAGGAGGAGGAGGGGGAGTAGCAGGAGGAGGAGGAGGAGGAGGAGGAGGAGGAGGAGGAGGAGGGGGAGGCAGACACGCAGGGACCGGGGGAGCAGAAGCAGCACCCACGGCACGCCGCCGGGGGGAAACCACCAGCACGCTCCTGCGGAAGAGACACCGAACCCTCGGACAAAAACGAAGGAGCGACACGCTGGCAGGCTCCCAACGGCAGCATGTCACTGCTGCTCCTTCTCGAGGGGCAGCGATACGTGGGGGACCGGCTCAGGAGGGACAACGCCGACCGAGAATCGGCGAGACATCGCCGGTGGATCGGCGACAGGCCCACGAGGGCGAGTCCGCACTGTCCTGGGCGGGCTGGGGCTGTCAGACCCCTAGCGGCGATTCATGGGCGGCGGGTCGATGGGGCCCACGCGCCGGCAGCGCCTCTCTCGGTCGGAGGGAGAGGAGGCGGGCGAGTTTCGCAGCGCGGCGAAAGCACGGCTGGCACGGCGACGCGGCACGGAGAGCCGTCCCAGTCAGAAGGCGGGGGCACGGCGCGAGTGGACCCGCAGCTTGTCGGACGAGCAGAAGCGGCGACGCATCCCCCCCTATGCATATCCCCCCTATCGCTGCCCCTGACAGCCGTGTCGAACGGCTGGTGGCCGGTCGAACCGCCCCGTGGCTGGAGGGGCGCAGGCGACGAGGGTCACAGTCTGGCCGCAGCTCGTCGTCAGAACCGTTCGGCCGGACCAGTTTGAGGCAGATGAAGACGCCAGAAGAAGTGAGGCACATCGTGGGTTAGAATGCTGCCAGGCTTCACCGGCCACTTGCCTCTATCCCCCCGTCTTCAGTGCCCTGCCGAAGCTCCTCTAAACATAAGTCGTTCGCCTCACCACCATAAGGACCTTCCATTTCCACGGCGATATAGTGAACTCCCCAAAAGCACATCTGGCCGAGGAAGCACACAAGCATCACTGCGAGCACGCTTTGCAGTGACAGTGCGTAGGCAACCGAACTCGAAATCCAGTGGATAATCATAAGAGTCGTGATCATCTGCGCAAGTAAAAAAGGAATTGGGAAAGCTTTGATCTGACGCGCGCTCGTCAATTTGACAATGCCAGCACCTAGCTGGTTGTAGACCCGGGAGAGAATCGGAGGGGCGATCTTGATGAGCTCACATTCTGCAGCCTGCAAGCAGCCACGGGCAGGCGACAATACGACTACGAGACGGCAAACTCTGGCAAACTCCGACGACAAACTCTGGCAAACTTACACTGCCAATGCCTCGCTCTCCTGGGGCTTTGCTGTGTTCTTGCTCGCAATGCCGCACTTTCCTGTGGCTTTGCTGCGTTCCTGCTCGCAACGCATTCCGCCAGAGGCGCGGAGAGCTTGAGAGATCCAGCCACAAAAAGTGCCATCCTCTGCAAGACCACTACCACGGTAAAAAGCACATGCGGGGTGGGGCATCCCTTCACTTAAAAGCAGCAGAGCAAGCACGGCGCATACTTGCTCATCCTCCTCCTGCTCCATCTCCTCCTCCACCCTGGCAGAACTCCACGTCACATTTTGACCACACCTCTTCTTTCCAAGCTGTGGATACACATTTAAAGGTGATGCGTGCTGACGATATGTGCTGATGGTGTTAATGTCGATGATGATGCTGATGCTGATGCTGATGCTGATGATGGTGATGATGAGAATAATGATGATGATGATGATAATGATGATGATGATGATGATGATGATGACGATGATGATGGTGATGACGGTGATGATCATAATAATAAAGTTAATAATAATAATAATAATAATAATAATAATGATAATAATGATAATAATAATTATAATAATGATGATGATGATGATGGTGATGGTGATGATACTGCTGCTGATAATGATGACGATGATGATGATGCTGATGATGCTGATGATGGTGATGCTGATGATGATGGTGATGATGATGCTGATGATGATGGTGATGGTGATCGTGATGATGATGATGATGGTGATGATGATTATAATGATAATGATAATGGTGATGATGATGATGATAATGATGATAATGATGATATTGATGATGATGATGATGGTGATGATGATAATTATGATGATGATGCTAATGGTGATGGTGATGGTGATGATGATGCTGATGATGATGATGGTGATGGTGATGGTAATGATGATGATGGTGATGATGATGATAAAGATAATGATGATGATGATTATGATAATGATGATAATGATAATGATGATGATGTTGATGATGATAATGTTCATGATGATGCTGATGCTGATGCTGATGCTGATGCTGATGATGGTGATGATGAGAACGATGATGATGATGATGATGACGATGATGACGATGATGATGGTGATGATGATGGTCATAATAATAATAATGATGATGATGATGGTGATGATACTGCTGCTGCTGATGATGATGACGATGGTGATGATGCTGATGATGCTGATGATAATGATGCTGATGATGATGGTGATGATGATGCTGATGATGATGATGGTGATGGTGATGGTGATGAGGATGATGATGGTGATGCTGATGATAATGATAATGGTAATGATGATGATGATGATAATGATAATGATGATGAGGTTGACGTTGATGATGATGATGATAATGATAATGATAATGATGATGATGATGGTGGTGATGATGATGATGATGATGATGATGATGATGATGATGATGATGATGATGAGCTTCGCGGTGACGATGCAAGACCTACAGAACGCCTTTGACTCGGTCAGCTGGCGGGCGATGGACTCGGCAGCGGAGCGGAACACGGACTGGCAGGACGAGGAGCTCAGCAGGCAGAGGTACAGGAACATGGTGGTGGACTTGCCGACGCCAGAGGGGGCTCACACGGTGAAGATAGGAGACGGCCACTTGCTGGCCATCGGGACGACAATGAAGGACGCGGTGCAGAAGCTCAGGAATGCGGACGATGCATTGGACACGGAGCTGGGGGCGCTAGGCATGCGGCAGAACAGGGAGAAGCAGGTGACGAGCTTCCTGCTTCAGGGCAGCGGTTCCACGGCATGCAACAGGTGACTACAGGAGAAAGGCGAGGGCGAGGACGGCATCCAGGGTGAGCTGAACGACGTGGCTAGGTACCTGGGGCCTCATATATCCCCGAAAGGAACGGCGGAGTTCGAGACACCGCGGAGGTGCGAAGCGGCTAAGACGGCCTTCTACGCGATGGGCGCCTTCTGGAGCCTATCGACGCCGTGGCGGTGGAAGCGAGTGGTGTTCCTGGGAACGGTGCTGGGGGCGATACTGTCAGTGATGGAATGCGTCATCCTGTCGGACGCGCAGGACAGGCGGTTGGACTTGTGCTTGGCGGGGCTGGGGCGCACTGCCATGGCAGGGGGCGCGACCAGGTGGCTGGAGGACGGAAGCGTGAAGAGCTTGACGACGGAGCAGGTGCTGGCGTGCTGGCGC